CTGTCCCTCATGGTTCTAATTACTTTTTGAGATATTTTAAGACCTGTGGTATATTGTCTTGGATGTATCATGGTAGAAATTTTTCTACCATGATAAGGGTTCAATGAAAAAAAAATGATTTGTTGAATTAATGATTTGCGAAAAATCAGTTTGTAAATTTGAGGGTGTTACAGTGGTCGCCTTTGGTCTAGTTTCAGTAGAAGTCAACTATCTAGTCTCGATTGTCACTATCGGTTTGGTTCTGATGGAAGTCAACTGTTTGGTCATCGTCGGCCCAGTCTCGATGGAAGTCAACCATCTGCTACTCATCATCATGTCGGTTCGATCTTAGTGAAAATTGGTCATCGCCGGTGCTATTGTTCTAATCGGCTTTGATTGTCTGATTTTAGTGAAAGTTGGCCATTTGGACCATCGACTTTGACTAATCATCCAAGTTTCTTTTGAATTCAAAGAAAGAATTTGAAATTTAAAATTTTACTTTAGATCCAAAGAAAGGATTTTAGTATTATAATTTAAAATTTTTTATATCATCCATACAAAGAATTTAGAATCTATGAATTCCAAATGTAAGATTTTAAATATGAGATTTCAAATTTAAATTTTTAATTTAAATCCATCCATTCAAACGCAACCTTAAAGTATTATCAACAGGTTTTATATTATGGTTACGATAGTCAATTACTTTTACATTATCATTCAACCTAATTTTAATTTTTATGATCCTTTATAATGAATATTATTTTCTCCAGGTCCTCAGCAATAATTTTCCCTATGAATAATTTATAGGGAGCAAATTATAGGTATATTTTTTATATAAGTATTAAAACTATTTTAATGAATAATTTTTTTAATTAATTTATATGTGGTTGTCGTATTTATATCTTAATTTTATCCCTTATTCTAAGTCATTTGATAATATCATCCTATAATTTCTTTTGTTCTGTTACATTAGCAAACAGAATTATTTTTTCTTGCCTTTTGTTTAACAAAAGTTGTTAAAAGTTGTTGAAATTTTTTATATCAGAAGTATTTACTTAATGAAAAGATAAAATATTTTATTTTTATATATCTACTTGATGTTTGGTACTATAGTATCAAATTTAAATATTATCATAGTTCTCCTGCATAATTTAATTTTTTATTATCAAATAAGAATGAATGATCACTTTTTTAATAAAAAATCCATCATGTTTTATGTACATAGATTAAATTTATGTGTTATATTATGACCCAAAAGAAAAGATTAATAACAAATTAGAAACAGAATTGAAAAATAAAATGGAGAAAGTTAATAATTCCTTCTTGTAGCGTGAACACTGGGCTACATCTTACACATGGACCAAATTACCCTGGCTCATGGGCCTTTACATTGAACTATCACTTTCTTGGCCCATATTACTAATATTCTAGCATTTCTCTTAAATTTCATTCAACCAAAAAAGAAAAAAGAAAGGAGAATCAATAATTAAACAAAGAATCACATTTAATCATCTCTGTTTTCTTTCATCTTCTATACTATCATTTTCTTCTTCATTAATTGTTTTTCTTATATAAATGTTATAAAGTGTATAAAAAAAAAAATGCATTAAGCGTAGGTTTTGACCGGGCGATCTAGAATTGAACTAATGGGAGGCCCACAATGCAAAGCAGCATTATAATAGGGGGTCTAAAATCAGTTTTAGCATTTTTAACAATAATATATATATATATATATATACATACATATATATATATACATATATAAAATTTTAAGGATTTTTTTTGTAACACTGGGGAAGCACCCTGCTTGTCCCCTCTAAATTTGTCTCTAATTTTGGCCTCCTTCTTCATAAAAATTAAAAGATACAAAAATATTTTCAAAATTTAATGCTTAACCCAGCCTTCTTTTATTGTAAATAGTTTCTCTTGCCCCAATATGAAAGAGAGTTTTTATGAGAGCTTTCTACACAAGCACAGTAAAGAGAGGGAGAGAGAGCAAATGGTATATTTTTATTTATTACTTTCTCTGGATGACAATATAAGTTATAATTAACTAATTTATAGTTTACAAACAATGTTAATTGAAACTTTAAATTTTTAAAAATATTAACATATTTTCATTTATACTTTCATTAAATACCCTATATAAAAGTCTTGATAATAGTAATTAAAATTCTAATGTATGATTTTTTTTTAAAAGAGTAATAAATAAAGTAAGAGTATAGTTAAAAAATAAGTATAAAAGTTATCAAATATCTTATATTTTGAATTAGACAATGTTTTTAGAAGATGCTTTATATTATGGTTTGGAGAAAGTAAATTGTGCTTGGAATTCAAATTTCCAACTATTAATTTAAGTAACAAGAACCCCTACCAATCATGTTAATTTTAGTCGGTGGAACCGGATTCATGTTGTTCGTGGGAGAATATCCCATACATTCATTGCAATTCAAATTTCAAACAACTATTGTTCTTCTCTTCCTTTTTATTATTTAGCCAAATAAACGCATAGTATATTACATGGAGTCTAAGTAAATTTTTGAATATGAATTTTATTTTAAAACTTTTCCCATGAGAACTTGTATGCCCAACAGATTTTAAATGCGGCATCTCAAAATTAATGTGTGATTTTTTTTCTTTCAAAATCGAGATTAATGGTCGAATGTTTTTATCCAAATATTGTGTAAAAAAATAATTATTTTCAAATATTCCTTCCGGTTCTAAAATTTTAAAACTAGTTAGTGAACTTGTTTTTATCCTAAATATTAAACATCAATCTCCTTCCTGCCTCTCATTTATTATTTCCCAAATTAACTATCTCTATATTTATTTAGATTCTTGGATTGTAAAGTTGAATACCATCACATTCGGTGTATGACTTATTTGGTTGGGATATTTTAGAAGAATCAAGGTACATTTTTCACAAATAACTTGCCTCATTTTATTTCAAGTAAGACTTAAGGTCTAGTTTGGTTTACTGAAACTAAGCTCCAAGGAAAAAAAAAAAGAAAATGGAAAAGGAATCAATAAATTCCCTTGATTGGTTGGTATGAAATTTAATGATTGGGAATTAAAATTCAGGAAAGAGAATGGAAATTATTTTCCTAGGAAATTGATTTTGTTGACCAAAATACGGTCTATGATTTCTCAAAATTTTAGAACAACTCCAAGTTTCTTCGAACTTCTTTCTTCATTGGCAGCTATTCTCCATCATGACAGCATCTCACCTTTTTTGTTACTTGCTTCAAATGTGACCAGACTCCATTGATTGCTTTGTTTCATATCTGCTTCTCCTTGCAACGAAGGTCGAAGATGTCGGTGACGACTGATAAGGAACCTCCAACGAAGATCAAAGACGTTGGTGACAAGGAACCTTCTCCAAATCTCCCTTGTAGTAGTCCTCCGTCGGAGAAATTTAATGCATCTTTGATTTGCCCTCCACCTTGATTTATTGCCGGAGATGCCAATGAGAAGGAAGAAGTGAGAGATGAAATGGATTTTAGGGTGATAATTAATTTTTTTATAGATAATTGATTTTATAAATTGATTTATTAATTTATTTTTTTATATGGGTGTTATTGTATTTTAATATTCTTGGTTATAAGGATTCCATTTAAAATTTTCAATATATATATATATATATATATTAAATTATGCTTTTAACTCCAATTTCTTTTTCTTTTTCAATTTCATTTTTTAATTCCATTTTCAATTCCATTTTTTAATATATTATTTTAAATTTCATGGTGCTAATCAGCTTGTTGCTAGCTGTAATCCATGATCTGATGTGGCATTTATTGTTATGCCATGTAAGATGTAAGATTATGACTGGGTGATGAGTGGGGGTGAGGTATAGATGATATGGGGACAAACTCTTAAAATGATAAAAACATTAGGGATTAGGTTTTAATCGAATTAAAAGTTTAAAGGTTGACTTACATTCAGTTAGAGTTGAAGAATTGAATTTTAATTAAATGAGTTAAAATTTTAAGGATCAAAAGATTAATAATCCTTTTATCTTTGAACTAGGTAATTCCACGCAAGTTCTGAGTAACGGGAATAGAAAAAAATTGTAATTAATAGAAATTTTCTTCTTCTTTTTACCAAGAGTTTATATTATACCAACGTGACCCCATCAATTTGATTCAAATTAGTGGGAGGCCCAATATGTTTATTGGTTATTGCCATCAAAGGCATGTGACTGGTCTCGCTTCGATCTAATATGGGGGATAAAGTATAATAGTGTTCGTCATTTTAATGTGATACGAGCCATCCAAATTTAATATGGATAATTTAAATTTAAAATTTAAAATTATGTAATTTTATTTATCAAGATAAAAATTTTAATAATTCAGTTCATTATTAATGACTATGAGCACAGTACATATTTAATTGGGATAGTTTAATTTAATATTAGAATTTTCTTATAATTTTTTAAAAAAATATAACTTTAAGTCTCTACATTTTACACGAATTTATAAGTTTTTATATTTTTTTTAGTGTTATAAGTTTCTACACTTTTTTAGTATTTTTGATCTCTCCATGAGCGGTATTGTAAGGAATTAGAATACCAAAAAAATGTGTAGGGATTTAGAACATAAAAAAAAAAATACAGAAACCTATAACAAAATTCAAATAAAGTACATGAATATAAAGTTATATTTTTTTAATTTTTATAAATTAACCATTTCGAGACACTGTTCAAATAAGTTGTGGATACTTAATTTATAAAAACTTTTAAAATTAAATTTGGACTGTCCGAATTAATGATAAAGTATATGAATATAATTTTTTTATAAATTTTTATTTTAAAAAATATACAAGATAAATTTAACATGTCAAGAGCACCCACCGACGTAGGACGTGTGAGGGGAGGCTAAGCACTTCCTCATATACCACAAAAGCACCATCCAAACTCACAACGATTGGCTAAATGCCAAGAAGGAAATCGTCATTCAAGAATTCGCTTTTCTATATTTTTATGTGTTTCAGTATGGGTCAGTCACTGAAGCATTATTTTGCCTTCCAGCGCTTCAGATTTTTGGCTTTATTAGCTAGCAGAGCTCAGCTCTCTGGTTCGCTTCATAGTTATGGCTCGTTTACAGTACCACATGCCAGTGGCGGCAATGTTGCTGGTTCAGTTCATTTACGCTGGCCTCTCCCTCAGCACCAGAGTCGCTCTATTACAGGGCTTGAGTCCTCCAGTTTTTGTCCTCTATCGACAAGCTATAGCCACTACTGTTCTCGCACCCGCTGCCTATTTCTCAAGGTCTCTCTCTCTCTCTCTCTCTATATATATATACACACATACACATATATACATATACATACACAACTTCTTTGTCTTCCTGTGTCTTTTCTCCTTAATTGCCTCTCACACAAATATTTGTTTCTTGATGTTCTTCTTTTTGCAGAAGAAAATCTGCCTCGTGTTCCTTGACACTAAGGAGTTTCACCTTGTTATTCTTGTCCTCGTTTATAGGGTTTGTTAGTTTCACCTTGAGTTTTTGCCAACTTTCAGATTAAAGGTTTTAAGCTTTATAATTAGATAATGCAAATCGATCACTTCTTCTTCCTTTTTTGTTTTTGCCTTCTTATTCTGCCGCAGCGTTACGTTGAACCAGAATGCTTATTTCGAGGGTCTGCATCGGGCGTCGTCCTCAATTGCAACTGCTATGGGAAATCTTGTTCCAGCCATTACATTTATAATTGCAGTTTTTGCAGGGTAACTAATTAAATTGCCAAAACCCATATTCAGATTTACAGTTTCTGAATATAGACAAATTAAACCTAATATGTCTGCAGACATTTTTATGACCTTATGTTGTCAATTAATGTTGTTGCATTGTTTTAGAATGGAGAGAGTGAATCTTCGGAGCTCGAGAAGTGTAGCAAAGATCGCAGGGACGTTGATGTGCGTGAGTGGAGCTGTGTCCATAGCACTGCTGAAAGGTCCAAAGCTATTAAACTCATATCTGCTGCTTCCAGAACCAGTCATGGAGTCCGGAGATGATCAGAACTGGTTGCTGGGTTGGATATCTCTGTTTGCAAGCTGTTTTCTATGGGCAATTTGGCTGATTTTGCAGGTACTTAATTGTCTCAAACATCTCTTCACCAAACTGCAAATATTCTATTCAACAAGCATGCATGCCGCTCACTTGACTAGTTTGGTCGAGCAATTGAGAACCGGGATTTCACCAACCCAGCCGATTTAGCCCGGTTACCACGAGATTAACTGGTGTAATCCGGTGGGTTGGACGGATCAACTAAGTTGCATATATATATATATATATATATATATCTCTCTCTCTCTCTCTCTCTCTCTTCTTGAGCCTAAAAATGACGTCGTTTTGACCCATCCCGGTTAACTAAATTAGTCCAGAGTAAATCCAGTTAACCGAGGATTAACACAATATAAGCCCATGGGCAGTAATGAATCCAGGAATCAATGTATGGAGGGGCAAAATTGAAAATATAACATGTAGAAAGGGGTCAGAATTTTTTTAATGCTTTCTAAAAATAAAAATTCTAATCTTTTTGCAAAGAGTGATTGGGGCCCCCCCTCACCCTCTAGAGTCGTCCCTGGTTAGACAGGTAAATTAAATTGTATATATTTTTGAGTTAAAAGAGTATTTCTTTAACTATTTTTTAAGAGTGTTCAGTATTCAAAATTCATTTGTGATATAATTTTTTTTAACATTTAAAAATAGTGAATTGAACACCTACCATTAAAAAGTTAGTTAACTTAAAAAATTATAAAAAATTATAGAGAATAATTTAAAAAATTATAAATGAGTGCTTTATTAAAAAATTAATATAAATTAAGCCACCTGAATTACAAATATATACAAACAGAGAAATCTTATTTCTTATCCATGTAAAGAATTAATCAAAATACATTTTTAACTAACCACTTTGACTGGTTACAGGGTGATTATCAAATCACTGTTTTGGGCAACAATGATGAAAAATAATTAAAAATATATTTATGTGAATTCTATCTTATTAAAATATTAATAATTTAAATATTATTATTTATAAGTTTTTTTTTAAATTAACCGCTTAACTAGTTTATTCGAGACTTATTAGTGAATGTATATTTTTCACACTAGCAGAATTGTAAATTAAAATATTAGAGATAAATTATTAAGTCTTCCTCCAAAAATGGATAAATTCTTTTTCAAAAATTTACAACCCAACTAGTATATTCAAAATTTATAAGTAAATGTGTTTTTTACACCAACAAGCTTTTGAGTTTGAGCTTATGTGAATGCAAAAAAACTCTTTTGAAAGAGCTACACTTGTTGGGCCTCATAATACTTGAATGTGATCCAATTAGATAGCCATATCAAAAACAAGTAAATGTGTTTTTTTACATTAATAATTTATAAGTCTTCCTCCTAGATTTATAAGCTATGTTTCAAAAATTTATAATTAGAGTAAAAACTGCGTTCATTTGTAAATTACATATATTCCAGTGAAGTTGTAGATTTTTGGTAAATTAGTAAATAACATTTGATTGTTTTACATGGGTAAAAAAAAAAATTTGATTATGGAATACTTATTAATAATTTTAGGAATTTTTTTCTGTAATTTTTTAATATCTTTTTTTATAATTTTTTAATCAACTAACCGTTAAAGTTAATTTTTTTGATAGTAAGATACTCGGGTGTTTTGTTCAATTAGTCAAAGGAGTTAATTAATTAATATATCCTACAATATTGACTAGAGTTCTAGGATGTATAGTCACATAAATAAAAATATCAAAGGCATTCTTGAGATGCTCGTGAAGCTGTTGAAAGAAAAGAAAAAGAAAAATAAATTTCTTAACTTACCTCAAAAATAAGATTGCACGCACACACTCTCCAAACTTAGTCATCTAGATGCAAAATTATGAGGTCTCAACCCTCTTCCTCGTTGACCCCTACTGCTACCACAGCACCACCCTAATCACCCAAAAACACACAAAAAGCAAATAGAGATGGTGAAGAAGAATGTTTAAGAAAAAAGTGAAATTGAAACTGAAAATGAAGTGTGATTGTAGATGGCTTCTAGAAGTAGAACTAACCATTATTAGCTTGGCGGGGTTTGTGGGATATATGAGCCATAAGAAGAAGAAACGCACTTGGTTAAAGGATAGAACACTGAGCAATTAGTGAGGTGGCGACGAGCTATGTACCATCAACAAAAAACCAAACCTAACTGCCAAACTTACATGTCCGTTCATTCATCAGTACCATCGAACCACCATCACTCAGTCTCATATACACTTTTACACGATAAGTTTAAAACGCACCTCAGAAGAAGAAAAATATCAAGGGAATTCACCCAACTCTCTACCGTCAGTAAAAACGCCATTTGCGAGTGACGGTTGTTCGATGATCAAAGGCTCATCTCAGCTTTTAAAATCCATTAGCTAGGACATATGATCAAAAAGCAACACGCCTTCTATAATATTTTAGTTAAAGATTGTTCATATTACAAATTTTAATTTTGAAAATAGAGTATTGAGAGACGCGAAGATATATGTATTGGGAATAAAAGCTCTCTTTCCTTACACAAGAATAGAAGCATTGAAAAAATATCCTGGCTAGTTAGCCAATCAGATAACACCGGTTAACATAAGGCACTTGTGATCGGTGGCTATGTAAAAATTTGAAATTTAATTTAATGTTCCCATGAAAAGTTGTCAAAAATAATTGATTAAAATATTTCCAATTCCAAAATAAAAAGAAAATTGAATCCCGTCCACCAATCGAAACAGAACGCATCTACAATATTTGTAGTATATAGTTGATTGATTGATTGATATGTTCCCCATAAGTCTGATTAAATTATATATATACAGAGTTTTGTGATTCTGGGTTCATCTCTTTCGTCAGGTTCCAACCACTGCGAGCCACCCAGATCACCTATCTTCGTCAGCTTGGCTGTGTTTCATGGCAACACTACAATCAACAGCAGTCACTCTGGTCATGGAACGAGACCCGCAAACATGGAAGCTCCATTCTGTACTTGAACTGTGTTGCTGTCTATACTCAGTACGTCCATAATTTTCTACACTCAATCGAGTAGCATAAAAGTATCCCTAAATAGTTCATATATTTATATAATATCCAAATTGGAATATCATATACATGTGTTAGCAGGGAGTGATGGGATCTGCAGTAACGTTCTTTTTGCAAGCATGGTGCATTTCACGCAGAGGTCCTCTCTTTTCAGCAATGTTCAATCCCCTGTGCACAGTAATTGTGACAGTATTTGCTGCGTTATTTCTTCACGAAGAGATCTACACTGGAAGGTAGTATGTGTGCATATATATCGCTAATAGATAATCTTTTTGAGGATGATGAGTAGTGCCTATGGCAAGCTAATATGTAGAATATTAATGGTTGTTTTTTCGGTTCATTTTGGTTAGCTTGATAGGAGCTGCAGGAGTGATAATGGGTTTGTATGTTGTGCTGTGGGGTAAAGCTGGAGAAGTTGACGATGAGACGAGAGATCTGCAGGAGAAGGATCCGACATTAACGAAAAGTGGTGGAACAGTGCACGATACGATCAATATATTGGAAGATGATTTATTGTTTGAACAAAACACGTTGTCAAATTGATTTCAAGGAACAGCTCCTCTCTGCTAAAAAATAATGATGCTGAACCACATTTTTAGGACAAAGCTTGTTTTTCAGTGCGTTATAATGATCCATCTTCATGTTTTTATTTTTGGAGTTCTGGGTATAAAAAGCTGGATTAAGCTAAACTTAGCACAATTTCTTCCAATCAACTGAATTTGAAGGCCGTGGATTTGTTATGAAACAATAATCAATACACACATATAAGTCAACCTACCTGATTACTATTAATTATATTATTCCACTGTAACAGTTTGGACAAAAACGACAGTTGTTTTAGCCCATATTTAATAGTTAATAATCTTCGTATATAAAACCACCATATAAAATCCTACCATCATATGTACGGACAAATATGTGACGGTTTAAAAACCCCGTCATATAAAACAACTAAAAAATAATTGTCATATTTGAGGGGTCAAATTAAATATGATGGTTATTCGCTATTATACCGTCATATATGGCCATAAACATGACAGTTATGTGCTTTGTGCGTGTTGTTTAAATAGGGGTTGTTATTGTAACACCCAAGATGTTAAACTTATGAATTTAAATAAACTCATAGTGAAAATGTAAACTTATATCGTAAATTTGGATCATAAATTCTCTTTATTAATAAATAATTATTAAAATATGACTTTAATTTAATTTAAATATATTAAAATATAAATCATTAAAGTTAACAAACCCATATACATTGATAAATTATCATATACAAGATGTAAAAATTTTAAAATAGGAAAACTTATTTTTGTATTTTTATTTTTTTTATTAATGTTAGTTTTTGCATTTTAAGTTTTTTTTTGAACCAAGTCCTATAAATTTTATAAACTGAATTCTTCATAATATATACTTAATTCACTCAACTAAAAAAAATTGATGAGCTTAACAAGTTAACCCAAACTTAAATTTAGTCCGAGTTTATGAATTAATTGATACGATTTTGTAAGTTAGAAATGTAAAAATGATAAACTCATGAGTTTAACCGAGTTTGTATGTAATTTAAATTTATGAGTGAGTTGACAAGATTTTATAAGTTAAAAACGTAAAAATATTAAACTAGTAAAGTCAACTTGAGAATTTGACAACTATAATAATAGCTACTGTAATAAAAGATTTTAATCCTCTGAATTTTGCTATCCAAAGTTTGGTTAAGTTAGGAGTATCACCATTGCTTACATCATACCACAAAATTTGCCCACGTAATAAGTAAACGTTTTGTTGAGAGAGCCTGGTTTATTTTCACTATCGTCCTTGTGGAAAACCAAAACATGACGGTGATATATGGTATTGTAATATTAATTGTGATAGCACCGCAAATTTCTTGGGACCGAACCCAATACAGTGACTTCCAGGCAATTAAATTTATTTTATTTGATGATGATGGGAAAACATAGATTTCTACAAAAGATTTGCATATGATGATCTTTATATTGGTCGCTGCCCTTCCCGCTGTTTTCGATAGTTTAATCATTATCCATTCTAATATAATTATGTAAACAAAAAGATTTACTTGTTACATGGCAGAATTTTGTGGCTTGACGTATGTAACAGTTTGATGCTCCCAACTTCACCAAACTTGAGATAGCAAAATTGGAAGGATTAAAATCGGTAATAAAACAACCAAAACAGAAACTTTCAGCAACTAAAAAAACAGACAGTTTTTCAACATTTTTAAATTATCGGTTAATATATAAACAAGGATAGAAATCATCAACATATAATTCACTAAACCAAAGTAATCAACTAATCACCATCAAGACCAAAGTAAAGTAATCTGCTAATCAACATAAAAACCAAAAAGTAAACAAAATTGTGCAAATAATTACAAAACCTTTTTACTCTTGGCAAAACAAAGGCCAAAATCTCAACAAAGCAGGTTTTTTAGAGCAAGATTTTCGAGTAACTTATGGTAACTAAAATCAACTCTAATTATCATAACTTTAGCATATTAGTACTTTTAAATATGTTGTTTTCAAAAGTAAAATAACTCAGACAGAATTTATATGTAATTCCCCCTGCAATCACTGAAATTGTGAGCCTAATCCAAGGCTGCAACTCTGTAATTCTTTGGGTTTCCAGAACTTATACAGATTGTGAGGAGGCCATAAACCTATCACCAGACAAGATCTTGAACAACATCCTTATCGAAACATAATAAATTATGCTAGATATCTATTGTACAGTAATTGCTTTGTTACCTTAGATTTTATTTTTAGAGAGGGCAATTTGTGATGATGAGATGTTTAAGACAATATTAATTAAGTACCTGCAAAATCAGCCAAATTGACCATGAACAACATCTCCCCAACACAGAGAGACAACCCAGCAACCAGTTCTGATCACCTCCGGACTCCATCACTGCTTTGGACCTTTAAACAATGCCATGGACACAGCTCTGCTCACACACATCAATGTCCCTGCTATGTTCGCCACGCTTCTTGAGCTCTGAATATTCACGCTCTCCATTCTAAAATAATGCAACAGAATAATTGACAACATAAGATCATAAAATTGTTTGCAAACATTATTAGGTTTGATTTGTTTATATTCAGAAACTTTAAATCCAAAGATGGGTTTCTTGTCTGATTCATAAGCACCAGAGTCGAGTAGAGTTGAGTTTAGTAGCTTGTAGCACTTTAATCAGTTACCCTGCAAAAACTGCAATTATAAATGTAACGGCTGGAACAAGATTTCCCATAGCACTTGCAATTGAGGACGACGCCAAATTTATACCCCACGAAATAAGCATTCTGGTTCATCGTAACGCTGCGGCAGAATAATAAGGAAAAGAAGGGGGGGGGATAAGAAGTGATTTGCATTATCTTAAAGCTTAAAACGTTTGAATGGCAAATTCAAGGTGCTGAAACTAACAACCCCATAAACGAGGACAAGAATAACAAGGTGAAACTCCTTAAAGTCAACGAACAGTAGCCAGATTTTCTCCTGCAAAAGTAAGAACAACAAGCAGAACACGAACATTAGTGTGTGAAGGGATTAAGACAAAGACATGAAGAAGTTGTGGTGTGTGGTGTAGACCTTGAGAAATAGGCAAACGGGTGCTATAACAGTAGTGGCTATAGCTTGTCGATAGAAAACAAAAGCTCCAGGACTCAAGCCTGTAGAAAAGCAACTCTGGCGCAGAGTGAAACGTCTGCGTAAATGAAATGAAGCAGAAATATAGCCACTATTGGCAATTAGTATTGTAATTGTGCTATAACCATCAAACGAACCAGAAAGCTCTGCTAGCTATAGTAAAGCCAAAAATGCCAAGTGCTGGAAGTCTAATAATGCTTCTGTTTATGGTAAGAAGGTGGTTTCCCACATGCCTTTGATGTGCAAAACTCCACTAAATACGGCTGGTGTAAAATAAATCATTCTCATCTCTAATTTTGATTCAATTAAAATTCAGTCCCTAAGCTGTAACTCAAACTCATTTAAAATGCTTATAATGCAATTAAATTTATATATCTAATGAATCTAAAGCCAATGGCGCTGAACTTTGTTTATTTGGATCACATTCACAAACAAGCAGCCCCACATTTGAGAGCAAATGTGAGGCATAGCCTTGGTTTTATCCGATCCGGTGACATTCCCATTAGATTAAAATGATGCTAATAAAAAGTATTAAAATCCATTGAGAATGTAGATTCATGAAACATGAGTATGCCTTTTTAACTACTATAGATTCAAAATCAATGTTGATTCATATTGCAACATAAGTATGTGATCTGAAATAGGAAAGAAGGGAGGGGGAGGGGGAGGGGGAGGGAGGTAGAAGGGAGGAGGAAAAGAAACTACACACAATTCTCATTCAAATGCAAAACTGTTTACCAAAGGGAATCTTAACTCCATTATAGATCTTTTAAAATTAACAAAATATAAATCTACCTAAAATTAATAGAATATGATAAGATATCCAGGTAGTCTAGATATCATAATTTATTTAGTAATGCTTAAAAGATAATAAAGATAATCTAGATTAATCTAGATATCTTATTTTATTCCAAATAAATAAAATCTAAATGCTAAATTAAATAAAGTAAATCTTAGATGCTAAATCAAATCTTATAAAATAAATTATCAATCGAATTAAATACAATTTCCATCATCCACCCCTCAGTTGGAAGAACTCTCTACCAAATAGTTAGTAGTTTGTCGAACAAAGCTGAGTAGATGTCATGGAACTCCTCAAATCAGAATGACCTTCCAATGATTAAGTATCATTGGATAGTACCTATTTGAGTTACAATCATTTGTTCATCCATGATAGCATCAATGTGTCAATAAGTACGTAACAATAGATAATGATGGAATTGGGGCATAGTGGGGCTATGTACCTATAGAGTCATTAGAGAGAAAATAGGATGGCTTAAAAGTACCATAGTAAGGAACAAGATCCTTAATATAAATACTAAATTGATAGACATATTTGAAGAGGTAAATCTAATAAATAAGCATTAGGCTCTAGTTTTTTAGCAATGCAAAAAGGGCCAAAAGCACGAGCATGTAACTTCTTAAGTAAATTTCTTAGGAAGCACTCTAGACGTATGCAAGCCATAACATAGTCTCCGACATTAAATTCTTAGGAATGGTGGTGTGTGTTGGTAGCTAATTTATGTGCATCATTATTCATTGCTAACTTGTGGCTAATCTCAACATGAAGGTTATGAAGGCGATGGGCAAAAGCTTCGACTGATTTAATGATGTGGGTCATAAAAGAGATAGGTGAGAGATCAATAGGCTGTTTAAGGTTGTACCCTTAAACAATTTGAAATGGACTCTTACTAGTAGATCGATTGATTCGATTGATTATATATAAGAAAACTCTACGACTACAAATACCAAATCCCAATTTCTAGATTTATCAACAACAAGACTCTTGAGTAGGTCACCTAAACTATGATTAGTGACTTCAGTTTGACTATCAATTTAAGGATGAAATGCAGAGGATAACTTTAATTGGGCATCGAAGAGCTTCTAGGGTCTTCCAGAAATAATTAACAAATTTGACATCCCTATTTGAAATAATAGAACGGGTAACCGTAAAGATGAACAGTCTCCTGGAAAAACAACTAGCAAGATGGGAGGCATCGGTGGTCTTACTATATAGTACAAAGTGAGCCATTTTTTTA